AGAGAGAGAGAGAGAGAGAGAGAGAGAGCGAGAGCGAGAGAGTAACTAGTTGTTGGGTGTTATAAAGAGGTGGAAACCCCCCCCCCAAAAAAAAAAGAAAAAAAAAGAAAAATTACAATGATGCTTTTTGTTCTAAAATGCTTTTTTTGTTTTTTTTGTTTTAGATAATCAGAAACACGAAAGACATATTAAATATCCGTAACTTTCATAGCCATAGAGTATAGTAAAGCTGCTTACCACAGTGATAGAAATGGTATTTCAAAGCATGTGGTCTCTCGCGCAGAAAATTACTTTTCAGATCAGAAGACAATTAGAATCTATCAGATGAAATAGCAAGCACTGCAAGTTTTGTTTTGTTTTTGTTTTCTGTTGTGTTTTTATTTTAAGGAAAAAAGGAGTTAGCAAAGGTTGAGAATTGTTCACGCATATTTTCACAGCTGCACAAAAACGGTCATTGGAAAAGCAGACTGAGATGACCTGGGGGCGTTATAGTAAGAGTAATTTTTGTTTTGTTTTTTGTAAGTGTTTTACGGCGCTCGCAACTGCATACGGTCAAATGAGCACGCGGGACACATTGCACATTTTTCAGTTCGGAAGGAATTAATTTTGAATTTTGCCCGGGTGGCAGCCGAAGCCTGCTCTTATCGATTTTAGGACCACCAGGGTATCTTTAACCTGCGCAACTTGCACACGGGGCCTCCAAGATGTTTCGCTTTTATCCGAGAATGGTAGGCGTTAGATATGACCTGCCTTAAGATGAGGGGTGTGGCTGGAAGACATTAGTAAGAAAGAGCCAAGTAGTAGCAGCAGAAAGACTGCAGAAATAATTAGGAGCCCAGAGGAGGGGGCAGGGGGTGGGGGCGGGGGTGGGAGGCAGAAAGTGGAGACAAAAGCAGACAACAGAACATGGTTAGAGAGCAGGAAAAAGAAGTAAAAGGAGAACATTTTAGAGAAGAAAATTTTTCATCGCTGTCAGGTTTCAAACCCGGAACCAATTGACTGAGAGGCAAACGCCATAACCTCTAGGCCACGAGAGCCGCCCCCACCCCAGTAAGAGTCAAAAACATCACAAACCTCAGATGCGCGAGTGCTACAGCACGTATGGCCAAAGATGTTACAAGTAAAAGAAACATTCTCTTCAGGGACCATACAGAGAGCAACACACCCGGCCTTCTGATATGACAAGTATTACAAAGACCAAAGCGACGAAGACGAATGGTAAAGTTACTTTTTGCAATATCAAAATCAAGGGAGCAGATTCAGAAAGTGTTCAAAATTTCATTTTTTTATCGTATGATATTGTGACTAGAACAATAATACCAATGTATTTATATTTAAGTTTAAGGTGGTTTACATTTTATTGTTTGTGTGTGCAGTAAGGCAAACTAAATGTTCGGAAAGTAAATATAACTAGTCAACACGATTGTAGAATTGCTGTTTTCTTCTGGATCTGTCCTCAGAGAGAAACTGCCCCGCTGGATGGTACGGGCCCAAGTGTCAATACAAGTGTCGATGTTCCATGGAGTTTGAATGTCAGGATGACGGGACGTGCTTGTCCAGCTGCCAGAAAGGATGGTTTGGTCCAGCCTGTCAGTACAGTGAGTGCAAGGCTTGTCTGGGACAAGGAAACCTGGCACTGAAACAACGGGGATGTTTTTTGTCTGTCTTAGGGCGTAATGAGTTATATAGGGAGGGGGAGGAGGCAAATAAAGAAGAAGAAGAAGAAGAAGAAGAAGAAGAAGAAGAAGAAGAAGAAGAAGAAGAAGAAGAAGAAGAAGAAGAAGAAGAAGAAGAAGAAGAAGAAGAAGAAAAAGAAGAAGAAGAAGGAGGAGGAGGAGGAGGAGGAGGAGGAGGAGGAGGAGGAGGAGGAGGAGGAGGAGGAGGAGGAGGAGGAAAAGGAGAAGAAAAATAGGCGTGAACCAATAATAAGCTCTACCTTTAGAGAATAAAAAGGATGAAGGAAAGAAAGAAGGAAGAGACGATAACACACGAAAAGAAAAGCATGCTACACACTAAAATATGAGCATGTATGATGGAGCTATTCTTCCGTGAAATATGTAGCATCCCATGGAAGCTTAACTACGATTGTCACTTACTTTTTTCAAACATCGGTATTTTATCAAAGCACCTTCACCACGTTGATTATAGTTGAAACGTCGTTTTCCAAGCCATGAGTGATGCCACATAATTCTGCTTGTACCACACTATGGCGTTTGTTTTCCCTCAGGTGACCTAGCGTATAAAGCAACTGGTTCTACGAGACTCACTGACGGGGACGACAGTACGTGCGAGAATGTCTACTCGGGGTCTCCCACAACAGTCCAAACTGGGATAGATTTCAGATTTACATGGATGAGAATTGTTGGGGATACCAAAGGTGAGACGACGTTATAAAAGGAAATGATCTTTTTTTATTAGCCAGTAGCGGAAATGTAAATCACCCGGAAACGAAGCATAAGGGTATAGACTTTGTTGACCAATACTCACATTTAAGGGTGTTGATTTCGGTGAAATTTAGGAAGCAATGAGGGATAGAAAACTCACTCTTAGGATCTTTGTGTGTTTGTGTTAGAAACGTTAGTCTTAGTGGTAGCATACACGAACGGGATAACAAGGAACGAAATTTATACACATTAGAGAACCATTGCTATTGAAAAAAAAATGCTACATATTTTATGTCCTCTTCGACACAATTTCGATCATTTAGGAGACATGTTGTCCTCATCATACCCATTAGAACATAACATCTCTTGAGACAGATGGGGTTATTCTACCCTCCCCACCCCCCCTCACGGTACTCGAACTCTGGTCTTTTGTATGTGACGGCTAAGTGTAAGAGACTAACCGTAACACCGCAGCCGCCGGTACGATTGGCAGAAAAATCTACATTTGTGAGGCAGCGTGGAGGAATCAGGCTCTCGTCAAAATAATTAAAGTGAAGAAATTTGCATTTTTCTGCAGGTTTGTGAATTTTTATCAAATTTTTGTTGTTTCGCTCAACACCTTTCATGCCCATTAAATAACTCATTTCTGTGTGGATTTTTCTTAAAAACGTTGATTTAAGGAACACAAAAATGTACATGTTCAGTTACCTGGGACTCTAAAGCTAAGGAAATAACTAATCTTTGGCAGCCATTTTCTCACTAATTTTACCTCTGAAAACAGGTGACCCCCACCTCTTTCATTCGCAAATATCTCGACTTGTATTCAGGATTAATGGATATTATGTCATTCAAATAAAGACAAGTGAACAAGCTTTAAGATGACACCAAAAACTCTACATGCCCCAAAATTGACGAGAGCCTGATTTCACCACGCTGCCTCACTCTTGACGAGAGAAAAGAGCAATTTAAAAAAACAACCTCGTCCCCCTTCCTCCCCTTCTCGACAGCTTTGATGTGGTCGGTCATGTAGTTGGAGCCATCGAAAAACGAGATGGACGTTGAAATTTGGATAACTTAAAGACGACAGCTGTGTCAATGTCCACTGTTGTGAATGAGAGACAGAAAACTGACAAAAGAAAATTTATCCGCAACTAATGATGATGATGATGATGATGATGATGATGATGATGATGATGATGATGATGATGATGATGATGATGATGATGATGATGATGATGATGATGGAC